CCATGGAAAACTCAAGTTTGAATTGAATGCTTGAGGGCACTTCTAGGGCCCTGTGTGATCCACTACCCAAATCCACTTGCTCATCCCTACAGCAAATAGTTACCAGAGACCCACTCAGGGCTTGGGGGGGACTGAAAACCAAAAGGGAATGGGTTCCAACCCCATTTATTGCTGTCCCATGTGGTTTTCTTGCCTATGATCTTTATGAAGTATAAGGGTAAGAGAAAAAGTATAGCTACAAATCAGAGAAATACAAATTAAAACGAGATACCACCTCACGCTGATACTCAGTAAACTGTCAAAAATAATAAATGCAAAAGAGGAAGTAGAGAGATTAGAACACTATTACATCACTGGTGGGACTGTATAATGGCACAACCACTCGGGAAATTAGTATGGTGCTTCCTTAAACAAATGCAAATAGAATGATCTTATGATCCTGTAATCCCTCTGCTGGGTATATACGCTAAAGAAATAGAGAACACAACATGAGCATGGCAATGTTTACTGCAGCAGTTTCCACAATAGCAAAAAAATAGAAACAACCAACAACCCCAATTACAGAGGAGAAGGTAAACACACTCTAGTCCATTTATACAATGGAATATTATGCATCAATAAAAACAATGGCAACTCTAATTAGCACACAACACATGGACACAACTAGAGAATATTATGCTTACCAACGTTGGCCAATCATATAAAGATAAATATTTAATGGTACCATTCTTATGATGAAAAATAAAATAATGATAATATAAAGATAAAAATACAAATAATGAGTAAGAAAGAAAAGACCACCATCAATATTTTTAAAGCCAGGGAAGAAATGTTTTCATGGAACAAGCAAGAGACACTTGAGCCCAGAACAAACTCAGGTTGGGTCAAGAGGGAGGTCAACTGGCCCAGTATCAAGTTGGATCCAGCATAATCAAGTTTACAATGATCTCTGATGGTAAAGTTGTTCGAGACCCTGGCCTGTGGCTAGAGGGGATCTGCCAGAGGCTTCATCTAACTAGATGCTCTGCAGATGAGTCTGGGGCTCCCACTCTCCTCCATAGCCGTCTACAAATTCTGTATTCACAATTTAAGTTCTGATACTTTTCCCTTCATCATATTTGGATTTTGTGGTTGTCATCTTTGGATCACACAAGCTAGTGTGCTTCTTCCATGTGGACTTAGTTGACTCTTCGGTTAGATGGCTGCTTGTTTGAATGCAAGTCTTTAAGACTCCAGACACTATTTATTCCGATTAATAGCCAGGCACCATCTGCTTTCTTCACCACACTTTGTTGTAGCACCCTTATATTCGGTGATCATTTCATGAAGGTGAGCATTGAGCAGGACCATGTATCAGAACTAACTGATCTTGGATTGGGACTAGAGTCCAGTGGGAACCCAGAATCCATCTGCTTGTCCATGGTTTCCTTTGGTGGTAGTGTTTTGACAAAATCAAACAGCAACAAACGAACCAAAAATATAAAACAAAAAACAAACAGCAGGAAAACAAAAAGCCATAGAAACAAAAAAGTAAAACACTGTCAATCATCCCCCTGGGGTACAAGATGACTGCACTGATAACATCAACAAATTTTCCAATGACACAGCACCCAGACACTGTCGGTATGAAGAGTCTATGCCAGTACAGTTCCACCCTGAGCTGCAACCCATGAGTTGTGGCCCTACACCGTCTGATTGCCCATTCGGTTGAGCTCTGTTTACCCTAAACGTGGGGATTGGTGGGTGCCAGGGGGAAACTTCCTGGATCAATTGAGATCCCCACCCAACAGATCAAAACCTGTCATGTCACTGCAAGGGGGGCATTGAGGTACTCAGTGTATGGTGATTCTGGGTCCCTTTCCATTGGACACCCACCAACACCAGGGTTCCCCCCAAGGTCCAATGACCACCACTTCCACAGCCCCTAGGGGCCACTCTCTGCTTCCCTCTCCTTTCCAAGTACTCCAGTCCTCACTCCAAGGGTGCTGGCAACTTCAAGGCAGGGTTCAGTTCATTCAGCCGGGCCTCTATGTGAAGTCCTCCCCATGTAGCCCCTGCGTTATACTATGCTGCCTGCAAGGTCAGCTTCCAAGGTCACCAGGGTGCTTAGTCCATGCATGGTTCATTGGATAGAAATGTATTCGTAGTGTCTACCCAGGAACATAAAATCTAGTCCATTGCCCCCCCTACGTTCCCTACAATGATTGATTAGCATCCCTTCTGATGTGAAGTTACTTCTCCCCAATCAACCACCGTACTCACCAACAGAACTGTCAGCATCTCCTACAAAATCTAGATGCTCCCTTCCCCTGGTCTTGGCTTGATTCTCCAGCAAGGTTCTCCTCCCATTCCTGTGGGCGGCCCATTGATTTGTCCCAGTCTTGTCTCAATGCGGCATAGCCTCAAGTGGATGGTGTTCTCCCTTTTCTCCCCTCTTGAAGGAGTGAGTCCAGAAAAGATGAGGTCTCCTTCAAGGTGGTTCCTATGAAGTGGATGGTAGGTAGGTAGCCTTCTCCCCTTTTGTTTGGGAATTGGTCCCTAAGATTTAACTGATGTTTCTCCTTACAGTAGTGGACTCAGACAATATGCGTCCTTTTGTGATTGACTTACTTCACTCAACATAATGGCTTCCAGGTCCTTCCATATCTTTCAGTGTTTTGTGCTTCCATCCCTGCTTTTTAAGGATGCATAGTATTCCATTGTGTATGTGCTATAGTTTCTTTATCCACTCTTCCACTGATGGGCATTTGGGCTGCTTCCAGTTTCTTGCTATGAAACTGTAACTCTTTGCAGGAGTAGAAAGCCTCATCTTTTTCCCAGAATGGGAGGATGGTTATCAAAAATAAAGGCTGACAGTAAATTCAAAGTGTTGTGAAGACTGGGAAGAAAGTAGCCGCTTAGCCTGGAGTAGCTGCACCGCTTCCCCTTTCTCTGAGCCCTCAGTCCCACATAGAAAACAGGATAGAAAAGGCCTTTGGGAAAATGAGATTTATAAACTAAAGTATGTGAGGGCCTCTGGGGCGGGGCTTCAAGCATCACTGGCGTGCACTAAGCAGTCCATGTAGCTTCTTGTCCCCCTGTGGGGATGGGAGAAGGATGCTGTTAGCAGTAGGGTGTTCCATAGCCCCTCTCTTCAGGCTTCTCAAAACTCAGCTGAAGACAAAATGGGTGCACAAGCAAATGTGGTGAAGAAAGCTGATGGTGCCTGGCTATCAAAAGATATAGCGCCTGGGGTCTTAGTGGCTTGAAGTTAAACAAGTGGCCATCTAGCAACGAAGCAACATGCCCACACAGAAGAAGCACACCAGCCTGTATGATCATGAGGTGTCAACGGGATCGGGTATCAGGCATAAGAAGACCCCAAACAAACAAACATATTATTGAGAAGGAGAGGAGTCAGAGCAGAAACCCAAAACCCATCTGTAGACAATGGGACATCCCCTTACAAAAGGTCACAAGGAAGGAATGAGTCAATCAGGATGCAGTATAGCACCAATGAAACACACAATATTCCTCTAGTGTCTTGAGGCTTCCTCACTCCACCTTCCCCATTATTATGACCCCAATTCTGGCTTTCACTGCGGGCTAGACCAGAGCATGTGCACAGGTAGAGATAAGAGCTTGGGACACAGAGAATCCAAGCCAGATAAACCCTTCAGGAACAGAAATGGGAGTAGCAATATCAGGTGAGTAGGGGGAAGATGGGGAGAGAAGGGGGTAAGAAACCTCAGGGAAAGGGAGACAGTGGTCAATGTAAAGATGTGAAATTAATAATAATTTATAGTTTATCAAGGGGCCACAAGGGTGGGAGGCTGGGAGGGAGGGTAAAAAGAGGAGCTGATACCAAGGGCTCAAATAGAAAGTAAATGTTTAAAAAATGATGATGCTAACATATGTACAGATATGCTTGATACAATTGATGTATGGATTGTTATAAGAGCCCCCAATAAAATGATCTTTTAAAAAAACTCAGCTGAAACTCCTGGCCTGATTTACCACCACCACCACCACCCCCAAGCCTCACTAGCCAGCGGGGAGGACTGGCTCCCCCAAACCAAGAGGGCTTTGGATAATGAGAGGAGTTAGCAGCCCCTGGCCTGCTCCCTGGTGGCAAGACTGGAGAGGGGACAACGCCTGCTCTCCTCCTGTCCCATCGGGTCATAAGCCACCACTTTGGCTACCAGGGAAACAGGTAGGTCCACAGAGTCTTAATAACCGCTTGGGACAAATAATAATAATAATTTATAAATTATCAAGGGTTCATGAGGGAGGGAAGAGCGAGGGAGGGGGGAAAGCCTGCTGATACCAAGAGCTCAAGTAGAAAGAAAATGTTTTGAAAATGATGATGGCAACATGTGTACAAATGTGCTTGGCACAATGGATGGATGGATGGATGGTGATAAGAGCTGTAAGAGCCCCCAATAAAATGATTTTTTAAACTAAAAAGTAACCGCTTGGGGCAGCACGGGTGAGGGGGGTGCGAGAGGGTTTGGGCTGAGAGGAGCCAGGAGGCTGGCTCGGACCATTTCTGGCTCTGCGGGGCGCCCTAGAGGCCCGCTCTGACTAATGTGGGCTTCCAGGAGGGCAGCTCAGGAGCAGAGGGGGGCTGTCGCTTCCCCCACCCCGCCCTAGCCTCCTGATGGAGGCGTCGGCCTTCTGGCTCCGGCGGGGAGCTGTGCTCCGGAGGCAGGGAGGGCGCGCGGAGGTGCCAGGGGTGCGGAGCGCGGGCAACTGGGCAGGCAACGCAGCTCCAAGTTTCCACTGCGCGCGGTTGTTGTGCAAGACGGGGCGCGGGAGCGGCGGGCGGGCGGGCGGCTGGGAAAACAAACCCATAAACAAAGCCACGTGGCCCCGGCCGGGGGGCCGGGCCAAGTGCAGCAGGAGGCTCTTCCGGCAACAAAGAGCCGGCCCGGCGCCCCATAAATAGCGCAGCGGCGAACGCGGCGCAGCATTCGCCCCAACCGACCGCCCCGTCGCCCTCCGCCGCCCGCCGAGAGCGCACTGTCCCCGGCCTGCGCCCCCAAACCGCAGCCGACCCCGCCCGCTCCAGTTCCTGGGACGCAACCCTCGCCGATCCCCAGCACTCGCGCTTCCTCCGCCGACAGCGCGTCTCCCAGGTCGCCGGAGTCCGTCCGTCCGTGCGTCCTTCGCGTCGGCTCGCGGGTGCCATGCCATTCCTAGGCCAGGACTGGCGGTCCCCGGGGCAGAGCTGGGTGAAGACGGCCGACGGCTGGAAACGCTTCCTGGATGAGAAGAGCGGCAACTTCGTGAATGACCTCAGCAGGTGAGGGGAAGCTGGGCTGGTCTAGGTGCCAGCTGTTGCCCAGGGAACCGGGAGGGCTGGGGCCGATGGGACGGAGGGAGTTGAGATGGGACTGGGAGTCTGAGAGCCCTGACTGGGAGTCGGGGTTGCAGACGCCCCAGGGAACTTGGTTTCGTTATTGTCCAAAGTCAGGGTCTCCAAGCGGGCACAACTCCTTACTGGAGCCCCAGCTTGCTCTGATTATGTGATGACCGCCGTTCCTGACCCCTCAAACTTAAGCCCACAGCTTTAGGGGGGTTCCCGAACCCCGGTTTAGTTCCCTGCGTTAAGGACACCGGAATCGTTGCACGGTTTTCGTGGGCGGACGCAGACAAGTGGGCTGAGCGCCCATTGGAGTGGCGGGCTCCGAGCACCCCAAAGGTGATGGGCACAGTTTGGAGATGGGATGGGACCCAAGACCCACCTGGAGCGCCGCCAGGCTCTCCCAGGCGAGGGCAGGGGGCAGAGTAACCAAGAGGCGGGTGGCCAGAAGACAGCGAGAAGGTCCCTGGGGCAGTAGCAGCCAAGCAGACAACGAGAGAGGGGAAGCCTGGAGCCCGCCGGAGCGCTCTATGAAACCCCCAGGCCCCAGCTTCCAGGGACTGTGTGTGTGGCCGCACCTCAGTGGCCCTGCACACATCCATGGCAGTTGTTGCCCCTCTGTCCCGGAAAGGGCATCTACTTACCAGACCTTCCGGTGGCCTCTGGACTCAGGTGTTACCTGAGCTGTCAGTCTTCTGAGCCCCCGACTCAGATCTGAAAAGTGACTATAGACCAGTGTTCAATGCTAATATGTGGACTCTGTGGGTCCCAGACCCTGTGAAGTTGACCCCCACATGGCTGCACTGGCCTGTGAAAGTGGGTCCACCTCGGACAGGTGCTTCAGGGTCACCCTTGGGGGCTTTTCCTACTGGATTGCATTACCAACTCTGCCCCACTCCCTTCATACTGCCCCTATGGAGGGCTCCGTTGGTGGGCCAGGTTTCTGATTACTGAGATTTAGCGATGGCTGTCTGTTTGCACCCTTGGCCCTACACTACAAAAAGGACCTAGAACACGTGGCTGTCCTGGCCGCTTGGCCTCCAGCCCTCCCCCCAGCCTGTGGTGATTCGGAATACATTAAACTCCCTTTGTCCCCAGTAAATAGAAGCAAAGGAACTCATTTGTCTCATGGAAGACAAGAGCCTGTAGACTTGTATGTTAAAGATACTTGGAGGTGGCCTCATAGAGTTTGAGAAATCTATTTGTGAAGAATCAGATTAAAATCTGTTTGTGAAAAAAATCACAAAAGAGAGAGAGAGAGAGAGAGAGAGAAAAGACCAGCTGTTATCACCGGGCTACAGCAGTTTCTTGAAAGACCCCAGTCCCCAAATGATGCCCCTCAAATGCATGCAAAGGGGTTAGAGTACCAGTGTTCCCCTGAGGGGCTTTGGGATGGTCAGGGGTGGGGGCTGATAAAGCAGAAGCCTACACTTCACCTTGGACTGTGGACTGTAGAACAAAAGTTCATAATTGCTGGGGGAGGCAGCAGGGGCTGGGGGTGGGGGGGACACTGAGAAATTTCTTTTTCCCGGCAAAGAGTGAGTGTAGTAGCCAAATGAATTTGTTTACCTATGGAATTGATATTCCAATCACCAATAGTTATCATGATTGCATGTTTGACCAAGCACTGGAGAAGTATATCATGCTTGTCACAGAGGCAGCAAAATAGAGGAAGGCCCTTGGCAAGTCCGAGGGACACAGTAGCTGTAAGGATGGCGCCGGACCACTCTGTGTTTCCTTCTGTCCCACATAGGGTCACTATGAGTCAGACCAACAGACACCTAACAACAACAGAGTGGACACATCCCTCTTGCTCTGTGCTCAGTAATGGGTGGCCTAGTGTTTGGGTATTTGGAGTGGTGGTGATGGTGATCCTGCTGATGCCCATGATTCTCACTCATGGTGACCCCAGAGGTGCAGAATAGAACTGCTTCATGGGGTTCCACGGCTGTGACCTTTCAGAAACAAACCCTCTGAATGGGCTTGAACAGACAGCCTGCCGGCTAGTACTGCACCACTTACCAGAGGGCACCAGCCAGGGATGCTGGCATTCCATGGCACTTTGTTTCTGTATCACACTTGAGATTCTTTTAGAGAGATGCTGCAGTGGTCTGCCAAGCAGTGGCATCTCCCAACACCTTAACCCGCTGCGCCCTGCAGGATAGTGTGAACTTCTGTTTAGACAAGGCCGAAATCTGGTAGCTTCCCGCCCCTTTGTCCCCAGCACAAGGCTTCTTCTTGACCCTCCCGTTTCGTGGGTCCTAGAGATTACCAGCACCGTCATGAGGGCATATGGTGACCTAGGGTCACTGATGAGTCAGAGATGAGGAGTCAGTGGGTAGCAGACTAGTGTAGCAGCTGGCTTTGCATTTGCCTGGTCGTGTTGTTGTTGTTGTTTCAGCGGCTGTAAACAATCCCTTCCCTACTTAGCACCAGAAGCCTGCCAACTTCTTAAAAGCACTTGGCCTGTGGCGGCCTGGGTTGGAAATCTCAAATATCCCCATGACTGTTTTCAGTCAGTTGGGCGATGTGTCCCTGTGATGTCAGCTTTGGGCTGAATGCCCTGCCTTCCAGGTGAGGCTGAAAGCTCTCCTGTTGTGAAAAAACAAAAGAGAGCCCCATGAAAGGGGTGTTGGGTGACCGAGAGGACCACAGAGGCCTGGTCCACCTCTCAGATTTCACGTCCAGCTCACAGAGCTGGCCGAATCAGGTTGCTTTCAGTGTCCCGGTGGACAGGAGTCCGTCTGCCCAATCCACCTTCTCTGAACTCTTCGGTTGTCCTCCCAGTGGCCTGGGCCCCATTCCCCTTCACCAGCTGACTGTTACAAACCCCATCCACTGTTACAAACCTCATTGATAGCAGCTAAGTGCTCAGAATTGAGATAAGGAAAGGCTTGAAGATAAGCTCAAAGCGGGACTCCTCTCAAAAAGTTAAAACCACGGATGAAGAGAAAAAAAGAGGAGCTGATACCAAGGGCTCAAGTAGAAAATATTTTGGAAATGATGATGGCAACATATGTACAAACATGCTTGGTACAATTGATGTATGAATTGTCATACGAGCTGTAAGGTCCCCCAATAAAATGATGTTTTTTAAAGGAAAAAACAGATGAGAGAGGATTTTTTTATTTAATCTTAATGTTGAATCCCCTCCAGCTCACAATGACTGAGCCCACATGGTCAGCAGAGCACTGTGTGCCTTGGCTGGTTTTCCAGTTGATGGCCAGAACTGTTTTCAAGGGGTCTCTAAGGAAACTCCAACTTCTAACCTTTGGGTTAATAGCTAAGTATCTTTCCTGTGTTCACTCAGGAACCCCAGAAGGCGAACATAACCCAAAACCAAGGGGCACGGAATCAGTTTCCAGTCTGGGGAGACACATTCTAAATCCAAGAGAAAGAACTCCCCCTGGGGAGGGCCATGCAGGACTGCCTCAAGGAAATGGTGGGGGAGCCCAGTCCTCAGCCCCTCCCTCTCCCTCACCCTCACTCCTGCCCACCCCCAGGATAAGCAATCTGATCCCAACTTCTCCAAGCCTACATGTCCGTCTGTCCGCAGTTGAAAGCACGATGTTGATGTACTGCAGACCCAAAGCAGAACCAGGAAGCAGAGCACTTACCTTGGTGCCTGGATGAGTTAAAACAACAACACTCCGATCTGACTGTCATCATTTCCAACTCATGGATGAGTCGTGCACATTAAATAAAAATAATAGTTTACATTTAATGGTGTGTTTACTGTAATGCAAGGCATAATGTTCCAAGAACTGGAGACACGACGTGGTTTGTGGCACCAGAGTTTTCTGGGGACTAGCCGTGTGAGTTTGGCAGTCTGGGGAAGTACTGGAGCAGATGAGCACAGAAATCTCACTGTCCCGAAGGGAGGTTGGTGATGTGGTAGGTTGCACATTGGGCTGCTAACCGCAAGTGCTCCATGGGGGAAAGATGGGCTCACAAACCCACCGGGGCAGTTCTACTCTGCCCTCTACGGTCTCTGTAAGGCAGAATCAACTCAACGGCAATGAGCTTGAGAGTTTTGGAAGGAGCCCTGGCAGTGCACTGATTAAGCACTCAATGTTGGTAGTTCAAACCCACCCAGCGGCTTCACAGGAGAAAGACCTATTGATCTGCTCCCATAAAGATGACAGCCTTCAAAGCAATAAAAATACATTAAAAACCCTATGGGGCAGTTTTACTGTGCTGCATCCGGTCACTATGGGTCAAAATCTACTTGATGGCACCTAGCTCCAACTAAACCCTTCAAGGCAGGCCACAACTTTCCTAAGTGGCATATTATTGTTACAAATACAATAACAAATAGGGCCCCCCTTTCTTATTTTGAACTCTTTCCACCTTCTCAAAAATTGTTTAGAAGTCACTGGTATGTGTGTGATGGGGGTGTTGAGCAGAGGGGTCTCTGTCTTATTCCAGGCCTATGCCCTTAAAAGCCAAGATAGGTAAGAACTGATTAGACCCCGGCAGCTGGCTGGTGATTATGGAATGGAGTGAGTGAAGACAGCAGCCTCTTTAAGGTGGTTATGCTTGCTTCTTATTTTAAAAAATAAATAAGTAAGTAAACATTAGAGGCTGTGGTTTCTAAATGGTGGTGGCTTTTCTTGTTACAGTTGTCGGTTGTACTTTTCCATGGGCTTCGGCATTCCCTTGAGATGGATGCAATTGAGCTCTTACAGGAGCCTCTCCCTGGACACACTGGTGCTTAAAAGAAAACACAGAGGCAGGCAACCCAGGTGAACCTCCTCCCCAGCCCTTCCGCAGGCCTGCCTTCCAGAGGCCAAAGCCTAACGCTGAGCTTAAAAGTGCAGGCTTGGTTTCTGGTGAAAAGTTTTTAATTCTCCGGTGGAAGAGCATCACCAATTATGTAAACTTATTCTTAAACTGGCTTTCGAAATGAGTCACTCGGGCTTAAAGCAGGTTATTGTCTCCGTGAAGAACTCAAGTGCTCAAATTCCTTAGAGGAATGTTTTCCATTAGACGAGAATAAGATGAAATATAAATATTTAAAGCCTCTAAGGAATGGTCACAATCTAGGGTGCAGACTGCCAGACGTTTCTGCTGAACCTTAGCGGTGCGCCTGAGAATGACCGGCTTCATTTTAGGAGTCTCTCTATGTGGAACATGCACGACAGGTTTTCGTTGTGTGGGTGGTGTGTGTGAGTGTCGCTGCTTTGAAAATAAGCGTCACCGTGGCTTGTTCTAGCTGTGCTTTCGGGAGCTGTTCCTGGCGTTGGTCCATCATGGTCCCGTCAAGTGACCCTGCGTCGTTTTCCCTTCCCTCCACTTCGGTTGAACATTCCTGAAGGTAGTCTCTGGGACTAAGAGGCCTGTTCTCCTCTTCTCCGGTTTCTACTGTCCTTCCGACCTTGCAGCAGCTGGCCAATGGCTCTGTGCCTGACAGTCACCCACGTCGACAAACACACACCGGCTTCGTCCCTGGCTCACTTAAGAAGGTGCTACCAAGAGAAGGACAGTTCTGCCGTAATCCATCTGAAACCTAAAAATATCTTCTGTTTCCCTGAATGAAAAAGAGAAGGCTAAAAGCAATTAGGAAACGCAGTGACTGATACCAAGCATGGCCCTACGAAGGAAGATTAACTAATGGTTGATGAGCCACCAAACTTATCCTAACGGGCCCGGAAAACCACTGCCCAGCATATGCTTGGCCATGACCGTGTGTAATCATCATCTGATTTTCACCACCATAAGTTCATTGTGACTCATCTCGGCCCTGTCGGACAGAGCAGAACCCGTGTGGGATTCAGAGACTGGAACTGTTTACAGGAGTAGATTCAAACGACTGAATTTGTGTTTAGCACCAAAACTCATTATTCACATAAGCATCGGAGCAAGATACTTATTGTACTAAAGAGCATGCTATTTGGGAGACTATAGCCAATAAAGACACAGAATATTGTTCCAAACACTTTTCTCTTGTACCATTGAAGAGATGTGCCAATGGAATAGAGAGATACATCGGTGTAGCTAACATTACCCAACAGCTGTATGACCAGAGCTGCTAGACCCTAAATCCCATTTTACATTCAGCAGAGGAATTCGGGAAGCCAAGGACTCTGTTACGCTGGTGTATAACAACAACAACAAGAAAACCCTAGTCGCTGACTTGTGGGCTTCCTAAGTCCTGCCTTGAACATCCAGGATGCCAAACTGGCCGCCATCAAGTCTATTGCGACCCATAGCAACCCTATAGGACGGGGTCGGACTGCCCCTGTGGGTTTCCAAGACTGTAAGTCTTTACAAGAATAGAAAGCCCCATCTTTCTCCCTCTCAGCAGCTAGTGGTCTCGAACTACTGACCTTGAGGTTAACAGCCCAACACTTAACCATTGTGTCACCAGGGCTCTCAAAAAGTTGGTGGAAAGATTCCATCATCTTTTTATTTCATTTTTCCATGGACTTTTTGAAGCACCCCTCCCCCCATACATATCTCGTGTGGTTGGGGTCGTGGGGATCCTGTCCTCATGATGACCCCGCGTTTCTCCTGCACCCCTCCTGTGGCAGCTTTGCACCGCTTCACCTCAGAGCTGTAGTAGAAGAGTGCTCGGTCAGCCAGAGGCTCAAGTGGAGAACAAATGTTTTGAGAATGATGAGGGTAACAGATATACAAATGTGCTTGACACAATTGATGTATGTATGGATTGTGATGAGTTGTATGAGCCCCGAGTAAAGTGATAAAAAAAGACGAGTGCTCAGTCAGCCTCCCTCCTCAGTCCCGCCCCCAAATGATGGTTCAGCCTACTACAGGGAACTGAGCTCCTGACCTGGGGTGAATGGCCCGCCCGTTGATGGTCTGTGAACTGGATGGGGCCATTCTCCATCTTGTCAGTGTCTGACTTCAGACTGTTGCTTGCTTCAGTAGGGGATGCAGGCTCTTCCCCTCCTTACTTGGCACCTCGTATCCATCCAGGAACCAGGTGAACCCACAACAACTAGCCCTCCACGCTTCACACCTCCTAGCAGTGGAGCTCACAGGTTGGGGTGAATGTGTTTACAGATGGTGTGAGTTCAAGGTAGCCTGGGTGACTTGGGTAGCGTGTGTAGGATTACCTCGATCAAGCTCTGACAAAGGAAAGCGGGGGAGGCAGGGTGGAGAGCTTGGAAGAGAACAAAAAGGGTCACTGTGTATTACAGCGATGCCAGGGATCCCCGCCCCCCTCCGCCCCCACCCCCGTGTAGGTGACATTGTAGGGTGCTGCCTTGCTCCTGGCTCCAGCGAGCAGTGCTGTGTTGGGGAGACAATGGCATGCAGTGTTGGGGAATTCAAAGGAAGTCAAAGTCCCCATCCATCCCTGCCTTCCACACTGACCGGCTGCAACACTGCGTAGACTTTCGGGGTGACTGTGTCTCTCTTTTGTTTGAGATGTGAGCGTGTATGCTTGTGCATGTGCTGTGCGCTTGTGTGTGTGTGTGCGCGCGCGCGCTTTGGAGCTCACCGGGTTCCTTAGCAAAATCACCCCTCCCCCTCGCCACCCTGTGGATTCCAGCTCCTAGCGACCTCATCGGAGAGAGCATAACTGTTCCAGGGCCTTCTGTAGGCTGTCACCTGGACAGGCGCAGACTGCGGGCCTGTTCTCCCTCAGAGATGCTGGGTGGCTCTGAACCGCCAACCTTCCAGGGTCAGCAGCTTGATCCCTGCCCCACCAGGGCCGGTGAATAGAAGCAGCTCAGAGGAGGATGAAGCCTTGTGTTCATCCTCTTTCCCCTCTGCTATTCACAGTTACTGCAGCAGCAAGGAGGTCTACTACAAGGAGAATCTTTTCAACAGCCTGAACTACGATGTTGCAGCCAAGAAGAGAAAGAAGGACGTACTGAACAGCAAAGCCAAAACTCAGTGTAAGCCCCTTGTTCTGAGCTAAGGAAAGCCGTTTGGAGACGTTCCGCTTGGTGCCTGGGCGCAGGGGTGGGTGGGGGGTGGTGTCTGCAGATAAACACACTTCTCACATTAAACCTCCGTCCTGATGTTCCCGGAGAGGCTGACAGAAGCCAGCTCTCTGCCCTCGGAAACATGGCTGTGCACTTTTTCCAAAGGAGCATGATGTCTTCTGCATAGCCTTGTGTCAAAAAAACCCATTGGCTGATTGTTGTTGGGTTTCTTCCCTCTTGTCCCTTGGACTTGACACAGGTAATGTAGTCCTTCTACAGGAATGGCCTCAGCTGAATCATTAGAATGAATTGGGTTTTCTTGCTTTACCTTTATTGCCGGCTTTTATTCTAAACTGTGTTTTGAGGCTTTGACCAAAGATTCCGTTTCCCTTCTGATGTAAATGTGGTTCACATGTCTAGATGCTCTCGCACAACGTTAGCAGCGAGCACTAGTTCTGCTCCTCAGCGTGAATCCTGGCTCTTGCAGTCTGTCCATCAGCTCTCTCTGTTGTCTGCAAGGGTCTGCTTTCTTTCTCCTTTCTACGGCCTTGCATAAATTTTAGAGTCGGCACTTAAACTCTGACTACTTTTTCAGATTTTTTTTTTCTCCTGCAAGACTTGGGGACACTCGATCCTGCTACCAGCGATCGGGGTGCCTCCAACAGGGTCAAAGAGAGCCCCTGTGTTTACACACTGCTCCTATGAGGCCTGGCCAACCTGTTCTTGGTCAGATCTTTTCACACTGTGGAAGAAGAAGGGAAAGGGGGGTGTTTAAAATCTCCCGGGTGTTACAACTTGTAAAACTTTAGGTCTTTTGTTTGCTTCTTTTTTGTCCGTGTAGATTTCCACCAAGAAAAGTGGATCTACGTTCACAAAGGAAGTACTAAAGAGGTGAGTTGCACCCCTTGCCCTAACCCGTTTGCTTGGCTGCTCCCCTCATGGGAGGAGAGGGGGACAGAGGGCGGCACTAAGCAACACTCTCCTTCCAGTCATGTCCCTCTGACTGTCTTCCTCGGGGGGTGGCAGTGGTTAGCAGCCCGCTACTGCACCACCTACCGAGCTGTGGGGGCACAGAGGGGAACGAAAGCTACCCAGCGAGCTCTCTCATCTTGCCATGAGGTAAGATACGTAGACGTCCCTTAGCCGGCGAGGTGAACGTGCCCTCCTCAGATGTACTGTGGTAAAGCCCTGGACTTGGCCTCAGGACACTGCCTCTCTTCTGTTCTCAAGCCAGCCCAGACTTCAACTCAGTTACACGCTAACCCTGAAAAGGCTCCTCTCAAAATACAGCAGAAGGTTCCAGGTGTCTACACAGCGTGAGGCCCTGAGGGAGGCATGGGAGGGACCCAGAAGAGTACATGGACAGCATTTGCAGGACCCTTGAGAAAACTCTTTTGACATCCTTTTTGGCATCATTTCTCAACCTGTGGGTCACGACCTCTTGGGGGGTCGAATGACCCTTTCACAGGAGTCGGCTGATTCATAACAGTAACAAAATTACAGTTGTGAAGTAGCAACAAAAATAATGTTATGGTTGCGGGGTCACCACCTGATGAGGAACTGTATTAAAGGGTCACTGCCTTAGGAAGGTTGAGAACCACTTCTCTATGGCCTCTCAGATTCCCGGGCATTTATTTCTGCAGATAACTATGACACAAGGTAATCTGATAGAGGGATCAACTGTCTTACTGCCAGGGACCCTGGGGAGCATTCGGTTCCCTCTGTGTGCTGATGGCCAGGGACGGTCACTGGTACTCATACACCTGAGATCACCCAAGTCCTCGGAGCAGGCTCCCTGGGCACCCATCAAGAAATAGTCCAAATAAATAAATAATGGTCCAAAGGCCTTTTGCCTCCCCTTGAAGCCTCGGGACCACAATGAACAACGGACTAGACATGCAACCCAAGGTGGCTGGCAGGGAGTCTGTGCAGGTAGATTGCCTTCTCTTCCATGAGTCTGTGATGATCCCCACCATCCATCGACCACTCATCAGCAGCCCAATTCCAGACCTTTCCTTGAGAAGCCACTCCACGTGACGGTTCCACCTGGGTGCGTGCAGGGAGCAAGGCCCCAGTAGCCTGAGTCACACCAACCGAGGGGATTAGGGTGTGAGTCACTGGCCAAAGCAGCCGTGGGCTGTGTTACCCATCTCTGTGGCTCGTGGGGATTCCCAGAGAGAGTGCACCTAGGGGAGAGCAAATGAGGTCCATGGGGATGGGCCTCCAGCTTGTGCAACAAGTGCAGGTACCACGGGCCCATAGTCAGCTGCTAACTGAAAGGATAGCAGTTTAAGCCCACCCAGAGGCTTTCGGGAGAAAAACTTGGCCAATCTACTTCCACAAAGATGACAACCAATAAAACCCAACAGAGCGGTGCTACTCTGTCCTGTGGGGTCACGAGGAGGCAAAACTTAGCTTGGCGGCCCCTCCTCGCACCAGGGCCCGGGGGGTTATGGAGAATGAGTGCTGCCGCCCACAGCAGTGACCTTCTGCTTCCCCCGTTCAGCGCCATGGATATTGTACTCTGGGGGAAGCCTTCAACAGACTGGACTTCTCAACGGCTATCCTGGATTCCAGGAGATTCAACTACGTCGTGCGGGTGAGTCTTACAAACCCAGGGGCTTCTTCAGGTCCTCCAGTTGAATTGTCCCTTTGGGCTGTCTGGAAGTAGTTCTGCAGAATAACCATGTGTAGTACCCTGAGGATGTTGAGGAAAGCACAGAGAGAGAGAGAGAGCAGTAAGGACGCGTGGATAGGCGCGTCTTAACACTCTGGTGTGGATCACAGGGAGTCTGACTCGACCCAAGGGTGACACGCAGTTGTTGCGTTTTTCCTGGGCCCCTTCTGGAACAGGCACTGGGATAAGCAGGAACAGGTTGCAGGCAGCATCCGTGAGGGAGCAGCCAGCAAGTCATAAAGCACTTGGGCTTGTTTGTAAAAGCCTTGTGCACCTTGGATTGTTCTTGTGGTCCTCCCCCTTGTCGTGTTTCAGCTGGCTCTGGGTTGACCCCCAGGCACACTTGGCTTGGGCCACGAAACAGTCCAGTTCAGAGCATCTCCACCCTCCCCTCCGCCTGTCCCCAGCCAGTCTCACGTGTACCCGTGTACCGTGTACCGCAAGCCCCAACGACCTCCTTGGGTCAGCTGCTTTGCATTTTAAAGCGCACTTTGAAAAGAGATTCTAAAAACATTCTAAAGAAGCTTTCACAAAATATTAATGATGAAGGTGGTAATGCAAATCATTCTCAGCATGACTGTCAAACAATGATTTTTTTTTTCCCCAGTTGGGTTGTCGTTGCTCTATTCTCCCCTTCAGTGTGGTGTGCGTTTTTTTTGTTAGTAGTACACACACACAGGGCCAGGCTGTAGCAGCTGCTGGGGCTTGGGGCTCCGATGGGAATTCTCCTGTGGATGCCAGTGGTTAGGGTTTGGATTTTCTTTTTCCTGGGCGGTGGGCGTGTCATCCAGTCAGATGGTTGTGGAGGCCAAAGCCAGGGTGATGACATTCGACCCCCTTGCGGCCTGGGCGCTCACCTGACGTCTGGGCTGTCTGAACCGACCTGGTAAACCCCCAGGCCCTTCTGCGGCTCAGAAGCATGTGCTGAGCCAGTGACCCTGTAAGCAGCTCTGCTGCCCTCCCAGTTCAGCCCCGCTTCCAGCAAAGGAATAAACCTCAGAGGCCTTCTTGGGGAGCATGCTGCTGTTGTTCACCCTGACTCCACTTCTGGAAGCCCTGGTGGGGTGACCATGAAGTGCTTAGCTGATCAGTGGAAGGCTGGTGGTTCAAACCCAGCTGGGGCTCCCTGGGAGAAAGACCTGCCTGCCTGCCTCCAATAAGATAGCAGCCCAGAAAACCCTCAGAGGCAGTTCGAACCCACCAGCCACTTCAAGGGAGACAGACAGGGCTTTCTACCTCCATAGAGTTATGGTCTCAGAAGCCCACAGGGGCAGTTCTACCCTGTCCACGAGGGTCACTATGAGTCAGCATGGACTCGATTTCGGTGAATTGGGTCTTGTTTTGTTTTGCATTTTCATTGGCTCCAGATTGCATTCACTGCTCGGCCTCCCCCCCACCCTTCCCTTAGACACCTCCCCCAGTGGTTTCAGAATCATTGTAACTGTGGGTTTTAAAAAAGACTTAAACTCATTTAAAGCAGCAACTTACCCATTTGCAGAAGGCCATTTGTTGGGGGTTCTTTTTTGTTTTGTTTGTTTTGGTTTTGTTTACTCTGTGCCACTTCTCCAAATTCCTCAGAAAACTGGAGAAGTTTCCGAGCTGAGCTGTTGGGCTCAGGGAGATGGGGGGTTTGGAACTTGGTAAGTGTGGACTAGAGCTCACTGACACAGGTCCCAGAGAAGCCAGGGGGAGGTGGGTCTCAGGGTGAACTGAGGGTGTTTCCAAGACCACACGCCGGCCCCCTACTCTGTGCATTGAAACCCCCGCCCCTCCAGAGAGTCTGGAGGCCAGGGTCCCACCTTGAGTTTCCCTAGTTTAGCATGTTCCTGAGCATCTGTCTTTTTATTTTATTTATTTATTTTTTTTTTTAGTATCTGTCTTTTTAAAACATCTCCAATGGCGTGTTTTGCATAACGAGCTTTTAAAGAAGACACAATGAGGCATGGCATTCTAGATACATCTTCTGGGGAGTGTACCACAAGCTAGCAAAAATTCAATTATGTGAAAGAGGACGCTGCCGCCACCGCCACCCCCACCCCAACCAAAAGCAAACTCACTACCATCGAGCCTGTGCCGACTCCGAGCGACCCCATAGCACAGGGGAGCTAAACGGAGTGACTGCAACATTGGGTTCAAAGCTCATTCCCTGCGGGACTTTCTCTTTCTCATCACGCTCCCTGTCTAATCTAGGGAACCAAGATAATGAGCCCTGCAGGCATCCTTTTTGTGAGAATGAGAAAAGGTGATATGGGGGAGGCAGGGCTGAATCTTGGCTCCAGGACTCCTGGTCCAGTGCTCTCTCTGTTCCCTCCCCTCCACGGCAGGGCCTGGCTGACCCAAGGAAGCCAACCTGCTGTTTTCATCACAAAAACACAGCATGTGCACACACACACACCTACACGTATGTGCTGTGTATACATGCCTGCAGATGCACATACATGTGCGCGCACACAGGCCTCCTTCCAGGAGCAGGCTTTACTGCTTAAGCGAGACCTTTGACCCTATCACTCCCAGCTCTCTCTAGGATGAGAAGGACAATGATAGGATTGGTGCAAATGGTTTGCTAACCTCAGCACTGCCTGCTCTAACCTGGTCGGTGGTGCGCAGAAGGAACACCTGGCAATCTGCTTCCATAATATAGCACCCCACCCCCTAAAACACACAACCGTGCAGAGCAGTTCCAGTCTGTCGTGCATGGGGTTGCCGGAACTCAGAGCTGACTTGCCAGGCCCCCTGGCACCACCAGCAGCATGTGGCAGCTGTGGCTGCTGCCATCAGGTTGAGAAGTGTCGAGAGAACCTTGAGGACTGGTTTGCTGACTGGAGTCAGTTGACCTACATGTGCTAGTGGGCCACGAAAGACGGACAGACACAGCCTCACTCTCTCCGCCCCTCTGCAGCCAAGACCAGGGGTGGTATTTTGTGCTATCAAACCACAGCCTAATCAAGGCACATTCTTTCTGGCACGCCCCCACCCACCCCCCGAATTACCACCCTCGTCCGTGTGAATGGTTCCAGCAAGTTCCTGCATTCCTACCACCCCTGAAAGCATTTTCCAGAAAACATGTTTTAGTTTAAGTTGACTGGTGGTTTGGCACATGGAGGCTGAAATCCAGCGCTGTGAGTCAAATTTAAACCCCAGGCCTTAAATAAAGGCCTGTCTCTGCCAGGCCCCTGACAGGCCGTGAAGGGGGGGCCCGACTGGCCCCTTCTCTCAAGCCCTGCCACCACAAGGACCTTTGGGATCGGTTTGGCACTGTGCACACTTGGTGGCCTTGCTCTGGTGGTAGGTGGCCTCTGCCACGGCTGTCTGAAGATCCACTGGGCAGAGAAGCTGAGACGGAGGTGAGCAGGCCAGCCACAGCGGCAGGAGCTCAAATCCCGGAGCAGAGCTATGAGCCCATCGGAAACTGGCCTGTACAGATGGCTGCAAGGGGCTGGGCAGTGTATCAGCATGGAGGGTGCAGGACAGGGCCTAGGGGTGCCGGCTAGGCTCCTAGTAGCTGGACACAAGGAAGTCTATGACTCTCTGAGTTCTTAGACAGAATAGGCACTTAAGCAAGCAAGATGAATGTCAGGGTGCCCTCCGTGTTGGGGGGAGACTCACAGGCCCAAGGGTATGATGGAGGACACTCACAGGAGTGAGAGGCCCTACTGAATGAGGGCCCACCCTCCTGCAGTATGAACCTCATGTTCCCATAACTAATTACATCTGCATAGGCCACCTGCACAGTCCCAGGGGCTAGGACTTGAACACACCTTTTTTGAGGGCCCAACAGGCCACAGACCAATCCCGAGGGTGCTATGCAGGAGGATGGATAAGGGGTCTCTGGAGGCCGCTGCTCAGAAAAAGACCCTCCTTCCTTGATAGGTGGCTAGGTGAAGAGACAGGTAGGAGTTTTCTAGGACAGTATCTTGGAAAGGGGGAAGAAGAAGGTGGAGGGATTGCTGGTGAGCCTAAGGTCAGTTCCATCCCATAGCGACCCTGTTGGCCTTCAGCCTCCCTGCCAGGTAGTGGGGAGGTGGGGTAAGCTGGGAGAGGAGGAGCCCTGTCTCAGCAGGTCCAATGAGCCAAACAGGAGAGATAGATGCATTAGGAAGCACACCACCCCCTTAGGTTCAGAAGGGTCCAGGTTGGATGGAAGACAAAGAGAACTGTTTCTCTCGGCCACGAATCCGATTGATTTGTTTAAACACTGGCCATCCTTAAGACCTTAACTCCCTGAGTTAGCACGAGGTTTCACTTGCAAATAATATTTACCCGATCTTGACAGGCCGGGGGATTATTAATGTGGTTGAAAGTTCCCCTAGTCCAACATGTCAGTGTTCAAGCTCAAAGCCGGGACAAAGCTTTCCAGGTTTTTAATCTGTTATCCACTGAGTAAATAAGACTCTTGGAAGTACCGGTACTCTGGGCGGGCAGAGGCACTGCTCAGTGTAACCAAAGGTTTTATTGCAAAAGACACCATCTCCCGATGGGCCCCCTACATGGGTATTGAGCGTGTGCGAAGTGGCAAGGCTTTCTAAAACTGGGACCCCACTGGGTGGGTTCCAAACAGTGAATAGTTGAAGCTGAGCCCACTGTCCTGGAGGCGGAGGAATTCGAGAGTCCTAGTCTATGTACGATGGGGAGGGCTCTGGCACAGTGGGCTGGGCCTCATGGTCAACCTCCAAGGCGTTTTGCCCCATTGAACCAGGTGGGTCTTGCAAGCCAGTTGTTTAGTGTCCTCCCAAGCCGGTGCTGCTTGCCCTCTTGGGAAGTGCCTGCAATGCATTTGCCTAGTAAGCCATTTCCGGAGCCCTGGCGACATAAGGGTAAAGAGTTAGACTGCTAACCAGAAGATTGGTCTTAGAACCCACCAGCGGCCCCATGGAAGGAAAGACCTGGCATCTGTTCCTATCAATATACCAAACCAGAAAACC